AGGCGGGGCCTTGCACCATGAGAGCGGCGCCCTTCTACCAGCCTCTTCAGATCAGACATATTCACGGAACAGGCGAGGTCACCGTGACACTGACACATTCCCTTTAAAAAAAATAAATAAAAGAATTTGTGGAAAGCCATCAATGAAATATGCAAGTGGGAAAGAACTAACTCACTAAAATACTGTTCATGTCGGCCAGCTGATGAATGAGTCCAAGGTGCTTTCTGATGGCGTTGGTCCATTTGGTAAAAGTGGGTGGGATGCCTCTAAACCTGATTTTCATGAGCCTCGGAGAGCACTCTAAAAGCACTCCGTTACATCACAGCCGTAATGGACGTTTATTGTTACAAATCAAAGCGCAAACTCTCCTTGAACAAGAGCTGCAGCTTGAAATATGAACGCTTTATATATGCAAGCATTAAGTGGAATGAGGAGTGACATGATGTCAAAAGTGGAGGAGGAAAAAAGACTTGGGAAATCATGTCTCTGCCACCCGCGTTTCCAAGAAATAGACTGGCACCTCTTCTGAGTTAGCATCACAGCTAACCTGTATTTGCGTGTTTACGCTACCTTGGCCCTAAAGTGCCTTGAAAAACAGCTGGCAATAATCTTTGTAAATGTAATAAGAATGTTCTCTCTTGCTCAAAACACGATGTTTTTTTTTGGGGGGGGGTGTTTGGGTTTCTTGTGTTATATTGGCTCCTTTGTCAAGAAGTCTCAACATCTCAATACTGCACTTTAAAGACGGAACAGAAAGAATAAATAAAGTGTTTTTTTATCCAAGAAGCTCTTGTCTATTTGTTTCTTGTTTGGAACAAAGCTGTACCAGTAATGTAATGTCATGTGAGGTCCTTGTGTTAACCCCCCTTTTTTTTCAAATGTTCAGGAACCACTGCTGTGGCAAAGTAAGACCCAAGTGGATATTTGGTGCTCTTCAATTTGCCCTAATCGCAATGACGGTCTCAAGGGAGGACAACACGCCCTCCGACCGACTCATTTATCTTTTGTGTGACGTAAGCGCGCAGGCAGTCCGGAACGATGGTGCCGCCTCTGCCTCCCGAGGGATTTTGATATGCAAGAACGCTGTCTGTCAAAACACCTCCAGAATGCATGCGGGGAAACGGTTGTGGTCTCTCAAAGGGTTTAAATGAAGAGAAATATGGCTTGAAATATCAATTCGAATCTCTTTTTGGTGACAAATGTGACCTTTCAAGACCATATTGTCTTGTCGACTCCTTTCAATGCAAGTGTCCCAAATGTGCCCTTCCTTTTTCTCCCACGTATGTATATCTGCGCATCAGCTAAAAAAAAAATAGAGGTTATGCACACATGGGGGTACAACCATTGAATACTTTGAAACAATGCTGACATATTTTCCATTTCCCCCAATTCCATAACCGGTCGCGTGCGTGTGCGTGAGTGTCTATCAGATGCGAACCTCACGTCATACTCCGCTAACGCTAAGGCTAGCTTCAAAATTAAAAGCTCTCCAAATCAAACGTACTGTATGCCAAAGCGACAGCTTTCGTGAGCTTTTATTTTGAAGTTTCCCCCGTGACTGCGAGCTGGACTTATTTTTCTTCATTTCGACTTGCCTTGTCACACTATTGATGAAAGGTGTCACGTAACGAAGTAAAAATGTAGGGTATCTATACTTTAGTGGACTAGTTATTTTTCGGCCTACGTTAGACTTGTACTCCTGATATTTTGACGCAAAGATCTGCTTTGGAAACACACACACAAAGCCTCGTTCCGATGTCATTTTGGATTGTGATCATTCCAGTTGATCGTTTTGAAAACACCAATCTGGACACATCTTGCCGGGATCGATGATTGCGTTTAGATGACAAGTATGAACATGTCACGTTGTCACAAACGCACACGCAACATTCCGCCCGGTTTGTAGCTGCACGTGTGGCAAATCAAGCCATCAGCGCCAAGCCGCCGCACTCCAACTCGTGCTGGCTTCCAGCAGCTGCCCCAACCAAGTCGAGCGAGAGCAGCAGCGAGGAGGCTCGTCACCCAAACGGCCAAGCAACCTTCACGCGTCAACTCATCCCTTTCGAAGCCGCCGTCCAACTGGAAAACGCGCATGGAGGTAAGATGAAACTTGATCAAGGGGCGAGACAAATCTTATCATTTTTCCCAACTCGAAACCCGAATACGAGGTTAAAAGCCTACTTGGAAAAAAAAAACCCTGCTTTGAAACCGGAATACTGTTTTACAAAACCCAGTTTGAAACCCTCGACCTAGTGTGAGCCTCTCCTCTAAAAACCCAACTCCATTTTACAACCCGAATTTGAAGCATTCTGTGGATGCCCGACACCCAAAGTAGCCGCCCGGACCCTCTGCACGCCCCCTGACTCTTTTGAAGCACTGTTGTGCGGGATGTGATGACAGTCTCGTGATTGGCCAGCGCGCTCGTGACGCAAGCGTCCCCGCCGATTGACGTCCCGGCTCGCTGCTGCGCTCCGGAGCTCGAGGCGCGGAGCTCCAGATGGAGTTGGCTCGCGACCGGAGCCCGTCATGGGGGCCGCGGACCCCCGCAACGGCACGGAGTCCGACGATGA